CACACGACAATCATGCTTCCTATGACCCCCTCGATGACATCTATAACACACCAATTCAGTGGACTTTTTGTTGTTGGATCTGTCGGGTCCATCAAACTTGCATTTCTTGCCTTTTCCTTTATTATTGGAATTTTTTTTCTTATCTTCAACCATATGAACAAAGGACCATCTAGATTTAACCTTTCCCTTATTTTTGGCATTCTCTTGCACCTGAAGAGATTCTTTTATGCGCACGTGACTACCCAGTTGAACCAAATATAATTCATCCTTTTGGTGTTTCAAAGTATGTTTGAAATCCTTCCACAAAGAGGGAAGTTTATCAATCACACTTGAAACAACAATGGATTCATCCATATTTATCTTTTGTAAAGTGAATTGCCCTAAGATACAAAGGAGTTCATTGTATTGCTTCATTACGGGCTTTGAATCAATCATCTTATAGTTATTCAAATCACTTACTAAGAACTTCTTACTAGAAGCATCTTCAATGATGTATTTTGAATCAAGGGAATTTCATAATGCCTTCACACATTCAACATTTTGGTAGATATAACAAGGAATCCGACATACCATTTAGAATGTGTCCTCTGCAGATATAATCATCATTCTCCCACTTACTGGGCTTAGGAGATTCTAGCGTCTCATCTTCCACTTCTTCAAGCATCAGAGTACTCAATACGTACACCACGTTCAATGTTGTCAACAGAAAATGTATATTTTTCTGCCAACGCCTCCTTCAATCTTGGACAATTTTTTGAATTTTGAAGTCATGTCTTTCATAGAATCTACCATGATCTCCAATAGAAAATATTGATTTACAGTTAGAAATTGGTAGAAATAGATTTCATAATCACTGTATTCTTCAAGGATCATATAGTTCACATTCCGAATCGATATTTCTTCCCTATTCATGGGTTACGAGCAATTCGATATGGAATAATATTTAAAGGAACAATCATTGTTCTAGGCACAAAAGATCGATCAAAACTAGAGAGAATTTGGTGTGTATGAATTTCGTATGTTTTAATGACCAAAGAGAATGTTCCAATATCTCTAAGAATTCAAAAATGAATTGAATTTGGATAAGGATGTTATCAATTGATAACCAAACAAAATTATATTTGAACCCTACGAAATTCAAAAATTTCTATTAAGTTGCCTCAATAAATTTCGTAATTTTTTAAACCCCTGCCAATGGGCACTGCCCGTTGGAACACTGCAAGGGGTGCAAGCCCCTTGACCTCCACTCTTTTTGTCGTACCATAACTTATATAGATTAATACAAGCGTGTATTATGTACCTCCACCCCTTGTATTAACATTACGTGTAACATCCCAAAAATATGATCCAAAAATTTCATTTTTAATTTAAGTAAAACAATATTCCAAAAACATTATCCATACAACACGAGAGAAAATAACTATATCAAACATCATAACAATCAGAGTGATATCTCAAAAGCGGAATCCATATGGTGTGTGCGATGTAGTCATCCTGAGCTCTACCACTTGGAACTGGAAGTACCTGAAATATAAACTAAAAACCGTAAGCACAAAGCTTAATGAGCTTCACAAACTACCCCATAAACCCCTACATTGGGCCCCGACTGGCATCGAACCCTGATCGGTTAGCAGTTCTGTTGTTCTCAGGCCTCACCCACTACACACATATAATATATAACACCTAATCATGCACCCACATATAATGATCATAAACACTAGCATATGTTCTTGTCATCGGGCCTCGCCCGAGATCGATCCCTGCCCAGTATACATAGCAGCACATAACACATGCAAGGGTCACACAGACTCCTAGCATCCTAGCATAAACCATAAGGGCTGACATTGGTGCCTTAGACCCACTAAACCCAATAAGGAAACTCACCTCGAATGTTGAATCTCATTGAAAGAAATCCCTAGCTGCCACCCTGATCACTCCCCGAGCTAAACAATCCAAACAACACCCAATTAACATTTGGGTTCCAAATCATAACCATAACCCAACCTTGGGATAAAATGACCATTTTACTCCTGACTTAGTTTGATCCAAGATCAAGGCCCAAAACCATATAATCATCCAAGGCCCACTTATGGCCCAATTTTCCAAATTGGGCCCAATCCCCTTATACGTGTCTTTCCCTAAAGCCTAATAATTTTACTTAGTCCCAAAGCTTGATTTTAAATGGCCTAGTAAGGCCTAAAGCAACCAGGTCCAAAGAAGTGGTCCAATTGAGGCCCAAAAGATGCAAAGCCCAATGAGACTGAGTAAGCGGGGGGTACTTAGTTGTATGCTAAGCGTACTCGCTATATGGCGTGTACGCGGCACATACTGACTTGTACGCCCATCATACTCCTCTATTAAGCCAACTTTTCCATTAAGCTCTTGACGCTTAAGTCAAAGATCCAAAACACAGATCTGAGTCCTAAAGAGTATCTAGAACCATAAAGTCACTGACTTGGTGACTTTGCATGCCACAGAAGATCCCAACTTCGGTTTATAACATTCCACTTTCATAAAAATGGTCATTACTCATGCATGGATGTATCTAAGCTTCAAAGATGACAACTTAATGAATCTAGGACCAAAGGAACACGAAGAGTGGCAACTCTAAGCTTTTGAAGTGATATTAAGCCACAAAATCTCATCTATGGGACCAAAAAGGGTCCAAAAGCTTAAACAAGAAGATCTAAGCTTCTAAAGAACAAGATCAAAACTTTATACTTTGCACAAGCTAGAAATAGAGTAGATAATATGGATCTACAAGCTCCTCTTTTAACCACCACCTTGCTCCAACCTTCTCTTTCTTGAAAATGGGACAAAACACACCAAAATGGACACTATAAGCTCAAAGTGCAAGAGAAAGGATTAGGGTTTTAAATATGATGCTTAAGGGTCTGAGGAGGCTAGGAAATGAGGGTTCAAAAGCCATAAGGATGTTTATATAGTGTCCACACTAGAAAATTAGGGTTTCTATTAAGCATTGCGTACGCCCTGCGTATGCATCCGGAACTCCGACCAAGCCTTCACACGAGTACGCTAAGCATACCATTTGGTACGCCCCGCATACTCGCTTAACAACTTGTATGCTAAGAATACCTTGTGGTACCCCCGCGTACAACTCAAAGGGCTAAAATGCACAAATAAATCCAATAAGGGAAAAAAGGGAAACATACCAGAATTCAAGTGTTACATTACGATATAAATGTTGGATTATGTGTCTAAGCCCATAACTATAATTGGTATATACTTGAATTGATAGTAGCACAATCCTTTTGGGTTGACCTCAAAACTAGCAACTTGATAGGATGACTGTTGGAGAGAGAGGTTGAATTTATTATTTGATTAATAAATTGAAATAAATAATTTGTTAATATAGTATGAGAATAATATGTTAATTAGAAATAACAATATTTATTTAATATTTAATCAGAAATTAATTAGAGTTAATTTTAGGATTAAAAAAATTAATTAAAAGTGCAGGAGCTAAAGTGCAAGTGTTCAATTGTTGAGCAAGAGGTCCAGAAAGTTCTTAGGGAAGGAGGTGGATGGTTTTCATATAGATAATTTAGGGTTTCTAGATTATCCCATGTGAATAAATAAAGAGCTGAATAATTATGAATTTGAAATATTAATATTATATTCAGATTAGGGTTATCCATGACATCTTTGTTGCACTATAAATAGGCTTCTAACCCTTAGGAATTTCGGCCACCTGAAACCTTAGAGTGATAGCCAAAATTCTCAAGCTCCCTCTCCTCTCTCCTCTCTCATCCTCTTGCTAGTGTTGGGCGTAATCTACTAGAGGCACGACATTTATACACATCAAACATATATACACATCACGTATATACATAAAATGTAAAGATGAATATAAGTATTGACATATCATGACTAGAAAACACATACATAAAAATTCCTCAAAAACAAAATAGTTGTATTAGGATTTCAACCTTTTTTCCTTTAATAAAAATTAGCATCTAAAGACATATTGTAGAAAAATAAAATAAAACATGGGGTTAAAAACTATGTAGTTGTTATTTACCGAAGCTTTTATATATATATATATATATATATATATATATATATATATATATATATATATATATATATATATATATAATCCTACAAATCACGTAGTGTTGTATCGTATATATCGAAACTAATCATTCACTACAAATAAAATGACATATAGCGACACACATTTTTAATGGCATATGGTTAATGTGCCACTATATCATGGTTTTTAGTGGCACTTAGTATATGCCACTAAAAAATTAATACATTTAATGACACTTAATCTTTTGTGTCACTAAATTTCATAGTTATTAGTGGCATAATGACTTGATATACCACTAAAACTTTTTTTATTAAAAATACCGTATAAATAATTTTATAATAACTAAAAAATTTAATTATAATATTAACAATTTATTTTATATTTCTCATTTAAGTCTGTTATTAAAAATATTTATGGAAATTTATTATGTCAATACTTTTAAATTTTGATTTTGTTGTGTTAATTTTGAAAACGAAATTTTTTACTTGAGATTAATTTATAATGTTTCCATTAATATGTCTATTTTCTTGATTAAAAAAATTCTAATATAACAATTTCATGCTGACTAATTAGATTTAAGAATTAAAGGAAAATTATCAATTATAACCGATCAATACCCATATAACGATTTTAGCAAATCCATGTATTCAATTTTACAGAATTTTTATTTAATTAAAATATCAAAAGAAAAAAAAATCAGTGAATCCCCACTTAATGGATTACTCAAGCGTAGACACACTTATACATCCCATCTCAACAACACCACCATTTTCTTTTCTCAATTTCTCGTTCAATAACTCCCGATAAATTAAAATCCCGTGATAAAATTAAAAACTAGTACATAAAACAAAAGCCACAATTAAAATTAAAAAAATGATACGTGCAACAATCAAATCTTACGCTCCCACTCCTGACGATGATCTGAACGCACTATCACCACCATCTATTTGTCAACGCCGGACGCTGTCATCGGCTTGTGGGTTCTTCCGCGATCGTCGTTGCTTCCGGTCGTCGCCGCTTCCTTGATAGTCGCCACTTCCTCGATCGTCGCTGCTACTTCCTCGATCGATGTCGCTGCATCCTCAATCGCTAAAACTTCCTTGATCGTTGTCGCTTCCTCGATAGCCGCCACTTCCTCGATCGTCGCTGTTGCATCCTCAATCTCACTGTTAGGTATTTTTGCTGCTTAAATAAGCATATTTACAAATTTCATTTGCTGGTAAATTTGAAGTTGTATACTGCTCGATTTGTTGCAAAATCATTGCCCAAACTTCTAGGGTTTATCAATTTTATGAGAGCTGCTAACCTTTAAAAGTCCAATAGTTTTTGAAAAGAGGCATATGACTAATTGACAACATCTTTAGACATTATTTGACTCCATTGATGATCAACTATTTGTTTCCTGTTAGCAGCACTGTCCTACAATATTGAATTCAACCATATCTTCACATGATAAGCTATGAATAAGAATAACTTACAAAGGCACATATACTTAAGAACTCATATGATTGATGATAGTTCTCTCACAATTATAGAGGTTAGAGTCTCTCCAAGTTCATAAGAATAATCACAAAATTTTCCATAAATACTCTCCTAAGGGAATAATCCTCAAAATATGGACCACTGAGACCACAACCCAGCTGGAACAATCCCCATGATTACAGCAACACAACAAAATTAGTGCTAAGGTCATAACCACCTAAAGGAATAACAAAAATATAAGGATAAAGCAAAAAGGGTAAAACAGAGAATTTACCACACTCCATAGCTGCTTTATTATTTATTGACCTTTCTACCCCTCCTACTATTAACTAGAAGTTTTTGAGGCTTATCATCATACTACAATAAGCTTATAAATTTATAGGAAATGTACTTACCTATATTGCTTCATTAGACTCACTAAGTTCATTAAATCAATGTGTTTGTTAACATAGTAAAATTAATGACTTAATGGTGAAAGTCTCATTTCCTTGACTTTCTTTGTTAGGAATCTAATAATTCAACATCATATTTAGGTTATTGTACCTTAATAGTATCAAAAATAAGAACTTAAAGCTCCTGTTCCAGGGTCTCACTAGGCATATCCCTTAGTTCCGACTGTAACCCACCAAAATAGCAACATACTATACTTACTAGTATTTAACCATAATAGCAATATATGACTTGATACTTGTAAGCAAAGAACTAAAATAATCAGTGAAAATTTAATGTGGAGTTGGGTCAAGTAGTAAGCAAAGACAAACAAATGTGATAGAAAAGAACTAAAATATATGTTATGAAAACAAACCTTAAAATTTTCAACTCTACCCTTTAGTTTCTCCAATGATTCCTTCACCTGTAAAACAAAAAGATTTATGAACAAACCAGCACTTTGAGATTAACTATTAACTCACATCAAAAGGATATTTATTTTTAGTTCTGTTAACATGAAAAGGTTAGATTTTTGTGCAAACCTTGTGATGTTCTTAGGCAAGTTCAGATCTCATTTGTGTCAGCTTGTCAAATTTAGCTTTGGCAACGTTAGCCTTTGTCATTGTATTGTTGTATGCATCATCCTAAAAATACAAGAGTACTTGGATTAAATATTAACTTGCATTAAACTAATCTGTCATCCAAGGATACATACCGGATTTCCACTTGTGACTAGGGTTCTAGCATCATAGTTTCCTGTGACATAAGTTTCAAAGTTTTCATTATTATGTCTTCTTTAAACAATGTTCAACTAGGAAATGAATTTATACCTGAAGATTTAGTATCCATGTGGTCAATTTGTGTGTTGACCTGTCATGTTAATTCAACATTAATAGGGGCATTTCCATCACCAGATAGTAAATAAAGTTTGTTGCTACAGTGAAAAGTCTATTAATTAATACAATCCTCAAATTTATCACTTTCTCTTTTTAAAATAACTATTGATTTTGACTTTATCAAAATAATCTAATATATGACAAACACAAACACAAACACATGATTTTGACCTGTCATGTTAATTTAACATTAATAGGGGTTTTCATTTTTAATTAACATTAATAGGGGTTTTTATTTTTAATGCCTGACATGTTTTTTTTTTTTTCATTTACATCTTCTTCAAATCATCATTTATTTTGAAATAAGTTGATTTGCTTTTTATTTCATGCACAATTTGAATAATTAAGAAAAACAAAAAAAACTTAAATCTAAATTTCAACTCTTACGTCAACCTTGAACTTTTTAAGTATAGCACGGTGCCTTTTGAAGTTTTTGTTTCCTGAGTATTTCATAAACCATATAATTTCAAATACAAACACTACTATATCATATAATATAGTATTATTCTTCATTTTTAATCTTTAACATATATCTATAATAATTAATCAAATTTCTTTTTATCAAAGGAAATAAAAATGAAAGTTATGTTCCATATATTTGTTGGCAAGTTCTAATAATAATATGACACTCTATTTATAACATTAACCCACGGTTCTAATAATAATAATAATAATAATAATAATAATAATAATAATAATAATAATAATATTTTGTTTCAAAGGAAATAAATGAAACCCCAAAAGATTAGTGGCCTCGTTTGTAATTAAAAATTTGATCTTTTACGATATGACACTCAAATATTTTGTGGTTAAAAATTGTCATATTTTATGATTATCACATCTATATTTTGGCATCACAAGTCGACAAGGTGTTCTTCTCAATGGATCCTAAACATATAGGTTGGGAGATTGTGCGACATGTAAAGCTTAGAGATTTATTTAACATGGGAGGTGCTAATGATGACATATTTGATGTACCTAACTTGCATAGGGTTGGCGATGATGGGATAGATGTTACACCAGAAATGATAATAGCTAATAAAAACATAGATGTCATAGATGATGAAGAAAATAATAGTGACTAGATTAGTATTTGATGATAGTTAATGAAAAATTGATGCACTTTATCTTTATGTGTATATTTATATGCATCTATCTATGTATTATATGTATATATTTGTATGCATGTACTTATTTGTTGTGGTGTTATAGGAGGATGGGTAGGCGTAAGAGGCTATGCATCACCTCAACTGATATCCCTATTGACAGTGAGATACATGATCAAAGTTCTGAGTTTTCTGCAACTGATATCCCTACTGAAGGAGATCAATCAGGTCATCCACAAACTACTGGAGGCCAGTCTACTGCTGAAGAACACAGCTCTACTGAAGGAAGCCAATCAGGTAAGTCACGGACATATGTTACATATATTTTTGAAGTATTTCATGTTCTTTTTACTTTTGTCATTTACAATTTCAATTTATAGTATTTACCTTTCTGTGTAAACGACCCTTACTCTGTTGATTGATACTATTATTGCATATTTTCATATCTATTTTGTGGTATATGCAATCATTTTGAGTAGGTAGATCTGTTTTCTAGTAGATCAAATATTTTGATTTTGTTGATGAAAAATGCCCACTTTATCTACCACTAGATCAAATTTCCACTTCCTTTATCTAAGTATCTCTTGTTTACATCATCTAAAATATGTAAGCTTACATTCAATTAATAGTTCTTTAAAGTTTGTCAATTCTTCATATTTCCTTAGTATTTTAAGCTTTTTTTCAAAGAAAGGTTTAGATGTTTTCTTTGGAATAAATTTCTCGTCTCATTATAAAGGCTTCCAAGTTGTAACAGAAAGACATCTTTCAATTTTGAGTAAAAAAAGAAACACATGTCTATTTACTAACTAATTGATGAAAACTATCATATTATCACTCTATTGGTAATTTTGGTTAACTTTACTAATTTTTTTATTAGGTGCTCAAAAGAAGGTAAGGGGTTATACTCAAAAGACCGAGACATGGAACATGAGTAGCTCCCAAAAAATAGTAGTGACATTTAATAGGTTCGGAAAACCGGTAGGAGATGAAGGAAATGAACTCGTACAATACCTTGGGACCCTTGTGAGGATGGCTAATCATGTCGGAATAGATTATGATGATTGGTATACAGAAGAAAGAAGATATGTATTCTATGGTTAAGGTGTGTATTTATTAACCAAAATTATGGTGTATTTATATTTACATGTAAGCTTTATTTGTAGGCCAAGTTTGTTATTCATCCGGCTGAAACAAGTGAAATCAAGAAATGGATCCTTTTTAGCATGGGGAAAATGGAGGAATTGGAAAGGTTCACTAAAAGCACGTGCATATGATTCAAGTCTTACAATCGATCAAATTGTGGTACAACAAACTGAGAAAGATAACAGGGTGAACCTAACTCAGTTTAAAAAACTTGTTACTTATTGGTTTACTCCAGAATATCAGGTAATATATTTAGTTTCTTACATAAACTAAGGAATTTATCCTTTTACTCATTAGTTATCCGTAATGGCCTAGCATGCTTTTATTTCATTGAATCCCTATTTTCACCTTTTAGTTAAAAACAATTTTACACTAAAAATAGAAAGTACATTGCTATTATGGGTAAAAGATAATGTAAATTTATGGAAAATAATAAAAAAGTTAGTTACCCTTAATGTCCTAGCTTGCTTTTTATTCATTGAATCCCTACCTTTACCTTTTAGTTATAACAATTTTACACTAAAAAACAAAAAGTACATTGCTATTGTGGGTAAAAGATAAAGTAAATTTATGAAAAATAATTATGTAGAGAATGTGTGATTTGAGGAGAAAGAGTCGTGCAAAGATGGAATAGCCCCATGTTTCTGGGACAAAATCATTTGCTCGACTTTCTCACGAAGAGGTATTATTATATTTTATTATTTTGACTTATATTATCGTCTTTTTTTTTTTAAATTATTTATTTTTCATCGAACATAACTACATCTTGTTATAGGCATTGAAGAATGGTGTATACCCAACACGAGGACAAATATATGTAAAAACCCGCACTCATAAAAATGGAAATATCGTGAATGAAAAAGTCGCTCAAGTTATGGTAATGATTTCCCTAGACATTATATATACATGTTTTTAATCATATCAAGTCATATACTCTTTGTTTCGTTTTAAACCTTGTAATTTGTCTCATTTTCAAAGTATTAGAAACATACTTTTAAAGTAGGTTGCTATACTATGATAGTATAGAAACCACTTTCAAAGTATGTTGCTATTAATTTGAAAGTGGGACAAAAACAGTGGGTGAGAAACACTTGTCATGTTTTTTGTATGTTGTTATTATGCAGAGTTCCCTACAAGCCACTGCAAGCGATTCCTCAAATACCCAAGGATCAAGTATCCTAGGATCTGTAGATGATTTTTCAAATGCTGACTACTCTAAAGTTAAAGGTCCTGAAAAAAGAGGGTATATTAGATGTGTTAGAAGGATGCCTACCGTAAAAGAGAAGGTTGTTTCTTGTTCTAATGATCCGACTGTCGAGCAACTAAAAATATGGTGAACTTTATGGCAAATATCATCCAAGAACATATACCTAATGCAAACTTGTCTGGAATTCTTAGCAATATGAACATATAGGTACATATGTTATCTATAATTGCATTGTTCCTTTTCAATTACCCTATGAACAAAAAAACGTTCATTAAAATTAGTCCATTATGATATTCCCAATTGGACTCAAGAATGACCACTTTTGCCCTTCTGAATAATCTTCTTGGTGTACATATGCATCTTCTTAAACGTATTCTTTTTGTTCATTTGTACAAGACTAGTAGAATATATCTAGAGTTGGACATTAATGTTATATATATGTTTTCATTAATTTGTATTAGATGCCAGGAAGCACTTCTACAATTCTACACAACTCTAATTTAGTTAACCAGAGAGCATCTTCTGAAAGTCATCATAATGATGGTAATCATTTTTTTGAGCTTTTGTCTTTCCTTTGTTCTTATAAATATAGTTTATCTATGTTTAGTGTTATATTATTTATTTTCTAAACTAAGCCTTATTTCACTGGATTCTGGATTATCTTTGTTTGTTTTTTGACAGGGAATTGCTAGCATTGATTCTAGAGTATGAGATAACACAATTTATTCAACCTATCATGTCTTTGTTTTTTTGTTTTTTTATTTTTATTTTTATATGCATGTTTTAACTTTTGTTCATTACTTTATGTTTAGCATGTACCTAGACATATTTGATATTTACCTAGATATTCGATTCAAAAAGTTAAAAAATATTCATGAAAAACAATGAAATTTTGATTATTTTCAATGTGCTACAATTTAATTATTCATTTTATTTTATATTATAGATGAAATTGTATTGTTGCAAATAAAATTTGCCACTAAAATATTAAAATACATAACTAAAAGTAGCATGAATTTTTTAAATCACATGAGCTTTTAATGGCACAAAATATATGCCACAAAAAATTTTCTTCTATTGTGATACAAAAAAAATGCCACTATTTTTTATTGTGGTAAATAAATAAGTGCCACTAAAATCTTAAAATGTGTAATTAAAAGTAACATAAAGTATTAAATCAAATCAGATTTAGTGGCACAAAATATGTGCCACAAAAGAAATTTGTTTTATTATGACAAATAAAAAAGTACCACAAAAGAAATTTGTTTTATTGTGAGAAATAAAATAGTACCATTGAAAGCCTAAAAACTACAGCAGCAAAAACAAAAAGTGCCACTAAAAGGTTTTAGTGGGAGCGTTTCTAGTGGCATTTATTGAGTGTGCCGCTGATTCTTTGAGAAGCCTTTAGTGACATTTTTTTGGGTTTTTAGTGGCACTTTTTGTGTGCCACTAAATGACATATTTTTTGTAGTGATTGATAGTTTATTATTATTCTTCCTAAACTCAAGTACATTATTAAATTGATCCATATGGTGTTCTTTTTCTTCATTGACCTAAAGCCTTGAAAACTTTGGCCAAAATTATTAAAACCTATTACTAAACCTTTCCGATTATTTATATAAAAATAATAGAATATATAGTACAAATAAAACGACATTTAGTGGCGTAGAAAAAATGCCACTAAATATCATGCAAGTGCCACTAACACCCCACCCCCGGTAATAAGCAGCATAAAAAAAAACCTATTACTAAACCTTTCCGATTATTTATATAAAAATAATAGAATATATAGTACAAATAAAACGACATTTAGTGGCGTAGAAAAAATGCCACTAAATATCATGCAAGTGCCACTAACACCCCACCCCCGGTAATAAGCAGCATAAAAAAAGGTGCCACTAAAAGTTTTAGTTACACCTTTTTGGTATTTTGAGATTTTAGTTATATTTTTTTCTTATGTCAATATATATATATATATATATATATATATATATATAATATATATATATATATATATATATATATATATATATATATTTATTTATTTATTTGTTTTAGTGACACCTTTTATGCCAAAATATAATGTAAATCATAGAGTTCATCGTAAGTGGGGACTAAGTAAAAAGTGATTGTAACACTAACAAAGGAATTAATATACTACATTGAACGAGAGATGATTGAATGAAAAACTAGATGTAGAATTTGCAAGGAGTTTATAGGAAACTTAGGTTTAACTCGTATATCATGTGTTATTTCTTTAGATTTATTGAGTCAACATCAAGAATCATATCAAGAATCATATGTTTCGATTGTAACTTTTTAATTCTTACAATATATCACGCCATATAATTAAACTTAAAATAAATTCAAAACTAAGAAATTCACAATTAACTAATGATTCAACATCTCCACAAACTTTCCCATCATCACTCACTTCAGCTAATTAAAGTTTTTTTTTTTTGAAAGAGTTAGGTTTTAATTGCTTTAACACTTTAAATGTTACTTTCCAACAAGTAGCAGACAATGATTTTAATGTTATTTCATCTATATGATCAAGTAAAACATTTCATCTTTTGTGGAACTAGAAAAAACATCATTTAACGTTGATAAGTTTTTTTTTGCTTTATGATAATTTCTATATCACACAAAACTAAATTAAGGCTATGACATCTACAATGCATATAAAAAGATTTTGAGTTTATTTCAAACAATATTTTTTGTACACTTTGATGTTTGGATTTCATATTTGATCTATTATCATACCTTTGTCCTTGAATACAATTAATATTCAAGTCAAGGGATTTCAAAGAATCTTGTAAAATATAAAATGTCCTAAGCATATATATCTTCTATAATAAGAAACTCTAGAAAAAACTTTTCTACTTTTATTTGATCACTTGCAACACCAACTACTTAGTCATTTGTTCTTCATGACTTGCATCTGGAAAAGCCAATTTATTTTCAACTAGACATTTTACAATTGTAACTATTCTTACCATAACTTCTTTCCATTTTCGGTCCCTTTTAATCAATTCTTGTAAATCTTTATCAATTGTTTCATTTTTATTTAACCTAATTCATGTTTCTATATCATCCCAAGAATCATAGTAAAAAATTTCATTTTTAAAACCATTTTAAGAATCCATAAATCATTCAAAACATTGTTCCAGAATCCATAATCATTAATCAGAGTATCCTAAAATCATTTATCAAAAACTACCCAAGGATGATGTGTACAATCATGCCTTCGCCTTGCCCCGATCATCTGATGTACCTGAAACCATGAAATCAAACGATAAGCCAAAGCTTAGTGAGTTCCCCCAAATTACCCCACACACAAAGATATAACAACATGGATTATGGGTCCACAATCATCGGACCAAATTACCCTCGGGTCCACAGTCATCAGACTGTATTACCCGTGAGCCTACAATATAAGTCTGGATTCCCCTCCCAGCCTTTAGCTTATGATTGGATTGCTCCTGAGCCCAGAGCATAAATATGTGTTGACCTCCCGGCCCTCAACTTATGTCTGGATTGCTCCTGGGTTTGTTCGCTTTTGCACAAAGCATTGTTGCCTCAATCCAACCGCACTATGTTGACATATGCAAAAGATAAACATATAACCATCAAATAGATAATCATGCAGATCTAATAGATCACTATAGCATAGCAACATCCTATATACTAGGATACATAACCTAGTGGGCATGCATTGGTGCCTACTACCCACGAGCATAGTGAGGAAACTCACCTCAAAGTCTAGAAGTTAGCTGAAAAGATCACTGCCCCAAATAATGGCTTTACATATTACCTAAACATCAAACAGGGACCCATTCTCAATCTACTATTCAAATTACCCCAAATGACCCGAAGTCAAACTAGGTCAAAGTCAACGATCAATGGTCAAAAGTCAAAGTCAAGATGGCAGTTACGGGTGGAAATGAGGCTATGTGTTGCATAGCCAGAATTATGTCCCGCGTAATAAACTATTGTCCAAATTTTCTCATTAAGTGCTTAATGCATAACGTTAACCATCCAATTATCATATCCGGTTCCTAAACAACCAAGATCTAGTCTTTAAGTCTCAAAGGGACTAAAAATGCATATTTCTAAACTTTATACATTAAGTCCAAGTCTTTAACCTTCAGACTTGAATCAATAAGATATTTAGATGGATAAAGTTTCCAACTTTATCCATAACAAGGTCACAAGCTTTCAAGATCTAAACTTTAATGCACTAAACTGACAAAAAAGAGTCAAATATGAAAAATGACTAGATCGATGAAACCAATGAGCAAGTTAGATGCTTTTTACTCACAATGATCCATGAATGATGTAATCTTGTTGGATCTATACTTGAAATCTTCTTTTATACACTTTTCCACTGCCCTGATCTTCAAGATTCAACCTTATAATAGTAAAATAAGCTCATAAATGATGCCAAGGCTAAAAAACAAGTGAGTGGAGGATAAGGTTTCTTAAGGAATGATCTTAGGTGATGAAGACTGGTAATGAGAGGGTTTCCCATAAGTTAGAGCCCTTAAATAGTGCTCAAAACCGAAGATTTAGGGTTTTGATCTACCAAGATTACGACACGCATAACACAAATTATGCCCTACGTAATTCAGTAAACCCCAGTTATGTCTTGTGTAACTTTAAATTATGCCATGCATAATCAAAAGCCACCATTTTCCACTTCGACTTCAAACAACCATAAATTCTTCGTTTCAACTCTGTTTTTAGCGTTCTTCATATGCATGGAAATGTATTGAAGATCCCCACAATCCTATCTAATTACTTTTGACTTAAAATATACCAAACTAAAATCTTTATTCCATGAAAGAAATCCGAAACATCACTTTTTCCATTTTACCCTTTGACTCCAAAACACAAGCCAAGGGATTGGATCTCATAACCAATATTATCCACATCCAATATGGTCTAAACCCTATTCCCTTGAACCCCAAGGCCTTTACTTGATCCAATTTTTGTCCATAACCCCAAAATAAGAAACTTCTCAAAATAGGATGTTACAATATTAGTACAAGATTCTAAATTAATCATATGTTCATATAGTTTTTCATTAAGATGTTTCCAAGATATTACTCCTTCGGTTGCCAAACTATTTCTAGAGTGTGTAGTTTTAAACAACTTACAACAAAAACAATCTTTTAGCAAATTCTGTTGAATACCACCAACCATTTTCTATCACGAGTATCACCATTTATGAATTTATAAATATCAAATTCATTTTTTAAATATCTACATATAAGATCTCTTGAACACTTGATGCCACCTAGCCCAATGTGTCTGACTTGATGTCATCACTAAAGGTGGCACCACTAATGCTCACATTTCTAATACTATATGAATCGTAAAGTTTTAAGCTTAACATTGTTGTCATGTCACGTCTCACACCATTTAAAACCTTGATTGAAATTAAGAGCATCTACAATGCATAATTCCATGAAAGAGATGGATAAGGTGAAATGTTTAGTTGACATTCAATGAATTAAATTCAACCATAATGGATGTCAATTTGACACTTAACAATGGACTTTTTTTTTAAACAGATAACACACACACACACTCTAAATAATCCTACTTCTAGACTACGCTTTTGTTTACTATGGGACTTGAACCTCATCCCCTAAGGGGAGAGTCATATTTTCAAACAACTTATACCACTGGGCCAATAGACCTTTGGTATAGAAGAGTATAATGGCCATTAAAAGTTTCAATGATATATATATATATATATATATTCAATAATATGGAATGCAATGTCATAAATGAGTTCTTTTAAATATGTCCCATTCAACTTTTGTAAAGTATAATGTATTTTATAAAAAAGTGGTAGAGTTTTATGAAAAGTAGAATGATAATGTTACAATCAGTAATATTGTATAGAATTCAATGCATCGTGGATGCCTAAGTCGCCATTTAACAATCTTATTATTTTTCAAAACATACATACAACCCATAGATTCGGTAATAATTTGGTTGATACGTCTAAGTTGACTTTGGTAATTAGTAATGTTGTATTATTATATAACCACAATTACAATAAGAGTATATATATAAGAGATATATATACACTCCTGAAACTCTAATATAATTATATAAATATCACACTTTAGTTGTATAATATTCCCCCACAAGCTAGGGCCGGGGAGTGACCTGTAGCTTTGATCGTAATAAGGAAAATCGTTGTGAGGGCAACGACTTGGTGAACACATCTGCAATATAATCATCAATAGATATAAACTGAACTGAAAGCTTCTGTTGGGCCACCTTTTCTCCGACAAAGTCAAAATAAACTTCAACATGTTTTGTACGCGCATGAAAGATAGGATTAGCTGTAAGATACGTAGCACCAAGATTATCACACCACAACATTGGAGTTGATTTAACAGGGACTTGAAGTTTGTGTAATAGATTTTTGAGCCATGTGAGTTCAACAAAGGTATTGGCTAGGGCCTTGTATTCAGACTCTATTGATGACCGAGATACAATCTTTTGTTTTCAAGTAGACCATGATACTAGATTGGAACCTAGGTAGATAGCATATCCCCTAGTGGATCGATGATCGTCTGGGCAACAAACCTAGTCAGCATCAGAGAAGCCAATCAGTAAGTTGTAAGCTGAATCATTATAGGTAGAGGATAGTGCTCGAATCATGCTTAAGGAAAAAACCATAGTTAGTAGTGCCCTGTAAGTAACAAAGAATTCTTTTGATTGCTGACCAATGATTCTCAGTAGGGGATTGTATAAAATGACATACTTTATCAACCGCAAAAGAAATATCCGGAAGAGACAATGTGACATACTGAAGAGCACTTACAACTTAGAGATATTTGACCAAATTAGCAAATGTGGCACTGTCACCAAGGGTAAGATTCACATTACTGGTCATAGGAGATGAGACCGGTTTAGCATCAAACGGACATGCACTTTGTAAGATTTCAAGGATGTACTTTATTTGTGATAGAACTATGTCATAACCCTGATGAGTGACTTCAATACCGAGAAAGTATATCATGAACAACAAAAGATTGGCTAAGACTCTATACCACTTTATTTAATAGCTTATGAGTTGTTTTATGTCAAAATAATGTCATCAACATAGACAAGCATGTTTAAAAGTGTGCCCCAATGGGAGTAAATAAACAAGGAAGGATTCGTATTAGAAACCTTAAAGCCAAGGGAATGAAGAGCTGTACATATACGGTGGAACCACGCTCTAGGGGCTTGCTTTAATCTATATAAGGATTTGTGAAGCAAGTAAACATGATTTGGTTTGGCCGAGTTAACAAACCCAGGTGGTTGTTGCAAATAAACTATCTCGGTGAGATTACCATGTAAGAATACATGTACATCAAGTTGTCTTAGTGACCATTTCTTTGTCATGAATAGAGATAGAACAACATAAGTACTTGTCGATTTTACTACGGGACTGAATGTATCATGACAATCAATGCTTGGTTGTTGTCGAAACCCTTTTGCTACTAGTCATGCATTGTAATATTTAATCGCCCATGTTTAGTCCCTTTTTAATTTTTATACCCATTTGCAATCAACAACGTTAAAATTTGGAACACATGGCACTAACGTCCATGTAGCATTCCGAATCAAATCCGAATACTCTTCTTCCATGGCACTGCTCCACTTAGGATCCCTATTAGAAATGGTAAAGGTTGCTAGTTCGATGTCAGGCGAATGGTATTGGGTATGGTAGGAGGCAGCAACATAGGGTTTGGTTGGTTTAGGATTGGGATGTAGGTTGGCGAGTCGAGTACACATAGGTTGTTTGGTGTTAGAAGAAGCATCAGTATGTATAAGCGGAGGTGGTTGATTAGTGTTTTGGGAACGGTGGTGATATGTGTGAATGAGAGGTGGTTTGGTGGTGGGCTTTTCATGAGGG